TCATTCCTGCTTTTCTAATCTTCTCAATTCTTCTCTTGGGGCCCTTGCTGGTTTATGCACCCCCAAAGCTCCAGCTTTTCCCTTGATTGCTTTCTGCATTTCCTAATTCCTCCCTTGCCCTGTCTCACTCCCACATATTCATTCATCAAACTTTAAATGACAACCATTTACTCTCAGCAAATTCTTCATTTCTTTCTTTTCCCTCCTGTTCACTTTTAATCAGTCCCCCTCTGCCCAGACGGGCTCCAGGCTGGACTTCAAGAGCCTTGGACGCTCGGCTCCTTTATCAGTTCTGATTAGATTACTAATAAACAAATGGCTGCATACACCTGAACCTCACATCCTTCACATGAATGAATCCTTCCCAGCACTGAAGTTGTCTGCACTTGTGTCAAATTGGATTGCTTTAAGCTTACCGGCTCTCTGATCAATTCATGTTGTTAACTAATAGTGTCATTAATTAATATATACTATGCACTTCTATATATTAATATATACAATGCACTTCATATAGGGCTGCGGTGGCTCAAGTGGTTAAGATGCTGAACTGCAGACCGGAAGGTTGGTAATTCAGCAGATCGCGACCCGAGTGCTGCATGATGGAGCAAGCTCCCGTCTCTGGCCCCAGCTCCTGCCAACCTAGCAGTTCAAAAGCAAGAAACTGCAAGTAGAGAAATAGGGACCGCTTCGGTGGGAAGGTAACAGTGTTCCGTGCACCTCGGCGTCTAGTCATGCTGGCCACATGACCATGGCAATGTCTTTGGACAGTGCCGGCTCTTCGGCTTGGAAACGGAGATGAGCACCAGACCCTAGAGTCGGATTTGAGTGGCTTTCGAGCAAGGGAAACCTTTACCATTACCTATGCACTTCATATATTGTAACATTCCCCCAGCAGTGCTTGTAGCATTCCCCCAGGAGTGCTTATGTTGGCAGTTTGAAAGGCAAAGGACTAAGAGAGAGGCTGAAACCCATCCAGAGAATCCAGGAGGGAGATGAAGAAACCAGCCTCCCAGGTACAAGACTACATTCCCACAAACAAAGCTGTAGTGATTATGGTATAATGATTAGTGTGCTGGGCTTGGCCCAGGGAGATATGGATTTAAATCCTCACTTACTGTGATGCTTGTGGGGAACTTTAGCTAGCCATTTTCTAGCAAAACCTACCTCACAAGGTTGTTGTGAAGATGGATTGAGACAATTTTCTTTGGGGGACTCTCATCACAGCCTATACATCAATACACAGGGAAGGCCTCTGTTTCAGATTTGAAAATTTACCTCAGAATTCAGAGTCTGAGTGCTGTAAATTTGTTGGTCTCTCTGGGTGTTTTGGAAGGCATTGCATATGACACCTTATACATTGTCAAACACTATTGAATACAAAACACTGCTTCGTGCTACGGATCAAACGCTATCAGCTATTAAACTTCCTTACAAGCAGGGTTGGGCTGAGGGGAAGATGACCCAAGCAACTTCCTGGGGCACTGGGCTTTGAGGTGCCTGTCACGGGCGCTCTGCTTAAAAAATCAAATCCGGAAACCAGTCATATAACCTGAGCGAACTGATCTTCCTTGATAAAGCAGGCAGTGCCATTTAAAACTGGCCCATCCAGTGCTGGTGCCCAGTTCAATCTCTTGATGATGGTATGGTTTGTTTTCAAAATTAAAATGCTGCTGCAAGATTAGAAGAAAACAATGTTTTCTTGCTGACCTATGGCATGAATAAATACAGATCTGAAGTCATGAAGTTGCATTCTACGGAGTCAGAACATTAATCTATCAAAGTTGGTTTCATCTACTCTGTATGGCAGTGGCTTTCCAGGCCAAGCTCTTTCCACAGGGGCAGAGGCAGGGGCCATGGCTCAGGGGCAGAGCATCAGCTGGGCATGCAGAAGGTTCCAGGTTCAACCCAGGCATCTCCAGTTAGTCGTAGGTGGTGTGGAAAGTCCTCTGCCTGAGACTCTGGAGAGCCGCTGCGAGTCTAAGTAGACAATACTCAACACTGATGGACCAATAGTCTGATTCAGTAGAAGGCAGCTTCATGTGTCTTTACATCACCCAACGACCTGATCTTTTGAACTGGAGATGCCAGAGATTGAACCTGGGACCTACTGCATGAGATTCTCTGGCGCAGTCCCTTCCCTAGTTTATAGATCCTAGTGTGGAAATATACTATGTGACAGGGCTAAATCAGGAGGAAGAGGGGGAGGGGGAGGAAAGAACTGGTTTTATACCCCGCTTTTTACTCCCCAAAGGTAGTCTCAGAGTGACTTACCATCACCTTCCCTTCCTCTCCCCACAACAAGCACCTTGTGAGCAGTGTTCCCTCTAAGCTGAGTTTGTGTGAGCTAGCTCACAGTTCTTTAGCCTCTGGCTCACACATTTTTGTCTTAGCTCGGGAAGGATGGCTCCAGAGCAAACTAATTTATGCAGCAGCCCAATCGCTTGCTCACAACTTTAATGCCAGTGGCTCACAAAGTAGAATTTTTGCTCACGAGACTCCACAGCTTGGAGGGAACATTGCTTGTGAGGTAGGTGGGGCTCAGAGAGTTCTGAGAGAGCTGTGACTGACCCAAGGTCACCCAGCTGGCTGCATATGAAGGAGTGGGGAAACCCGGTTCTCCAGATTAGAGTCATGAAGTCGTGAAATAGGCTGGAAATCTGATTCTTAAAAATAAGGTGAAGAAGTGGAGGGTGCTGGGGATGCTGATGGCACTCCTGGCCTAGGGTGCCATTTGATCTAGAGCCAGCCTGGCTTGCATCTCACCTGTCATGTACAGCCAAATAATATTGCATGCTAGCCATCCTAGTCCTGTTGTACACAAAATGGCTCTTGTATGTCAGCCACCATATACCATCAAATATTGAAAGCAACCCTCATGGAATGTCATACACAGATCAAATATTAGGGGAGAAATAAGAAAAGATTCCGCATCAGACGTTTTGGGAGTGTATTTGTTTCTGCTCCTGTTCTAGCATGAACACATGGCAGATGAGCATGGTGGTGGTTACAAGCACATGTCACTCACCCACAGACAGTGCGCAGCTCCTGGGCCTGGGTCCTTTCATCTTCATCCTCTTCCTCTTCGAAGCCAGCCATGTTTTCCCCTAGTCTTAAGATGCAGTCAGAGAAGCCTTGGTAAATGTTTTCACATGGAGTTTCTGCAGCCAAAGACTTGAGCAGAGAAGCTGTAAATGGAAATAGGATTCATGTAACTTGCTGATGGAAAATCTCTGAGCAGCTTCATCACCAGATTCCCTAGGGGGTCATACAAGGCCAAAGTTGGTTCCCGGTTCCTTATCTGCTTGCGGGTCGTGTATATTTACCAAAGAGCCAGTGCAACGTCATCAACATTACAGACCTGTTCCCCACTTAGCCATCAAGTTCACTGGGCAGCCAATCACGTTTCTGAGTCAAAGCTGCCTCACAACGTTGTTGTGAAGATAAAATGGGGGGGGGGGGTGTTCACTGTCTCCAACTCCAGAAAAGAAGAGCAGGATAACGATGTGGTTAGTAAATATAAATGTGGGTGAATTCAGCTCAATAATTCATTGCCCCAGTTTGCAAAGAGCCTCACCTATTTAGCCCCACATCTCCCACCCCCAGGATTTCCTGGGCCTTTAACAGAGATGCTTGAGATGGAAAAATTCAGTGGGAGAAGTTTTCCCCATCCTTTAATGTCCATATTGGGGAGGGGGGGGAGACTCACTAAAGTTGAGACTGCTGGTAGCTGTTAACGACACAGTACTCCTGCCAGGGGAAAAGTTGGCAACCCCACATATGGCAATCAACCCCCCCCCCCCATCAAAGCAGAAAGAAGAGAGAATATGGCATATTATTGATAAGAGACGAGCGTTATAGAGAAGGTTAAAATCTGCAAGGGGGAACTAGCCATTTGGGCCCTAGAAACTTTGCTACTGCCGACTTTCCCCTGGGATGAAACCCTGGCTGGGGGGCACCAGCCTGACCCCCCTGGAGCACCCCGCCCAGCCGAGCCGTCCGAAAGGCTCCTCCCCTGGGGGTCGCCTGGCTCGCACTTACCCAGCGCCAGGAGCAGCAGCGCCGTGCCCGGTCCCTGGGCCATCCTGCTCAGGGGTTCAGGCGGGACTCCACCCCCCTCCGCCAGCCCATTTCTCTGAACAGGGCAGGCGCCTCGCCAGCTCCCCTCTCTGCTCCGGACGGGCAACGAAGCGCAGGCGAGCCGTCGGGTAAGCTCGAGGGAAGAGATCGACGACGACGGGTCTGGCGTCCCCAGGAGTCCACGCAGCTTGGGCGGGGGCGCTCCTCTCTCGGGTCCCCTGGCCCCGGGGGGGGGGGGGGGGGCGGTTCTCTGCCTAGTTGCGCCTCCGCGTTCCTTTCCAGCTCCGCGGAGCGTGTCTGCGCCACGAAGAAGGTGGTTCAGTCCAGGGAGGAGTCGCCGGACTCGGGCAGAACCAGGTGTTTCTGTGGCAGATGGGCGAGGTGCTACGGGGGTGTCCTTGCAGGAGTAAAGAAGAATGTGACGGGTGGGGAGGGAACCCTGGATCAAGCAGGGCTCGTACACGAAACGTGCGCTTCTAAGCCAGATCCGTGCAGTTCTCAGGGGGATTCTGTGCAGCTCCGAATCAGATGAAGAAAGAAGATCAAGAGAAACCAAGTGTCTGTTCAACAAACCAACTGAAGTTTCCGGGCACTTCTCAAGGACTTGTCGCAGGGTGCCTTTTCTGTAGTGACCCCATGACGTGGAATGCCCTCTCTAGAGAGACGCATTTTAAAAAGTATACTAAGGGCAGCATGCGTTGTTTTTGTTGTTTTTAAATAAGTGTAGAAGTGCGCTAGTGCTTGGATTTTCTGGTGGGAAAGATTCGTGCAATTGCACTATTTGGGAGACAAAAAACTGCATATATTTACCCTCTCAGATGCACCCATAACAGTTGAGGGAGAGGGGAAGGGAGGATTGTCACACTGTGCTATTCTGCAGCAGCACTGTGCATGTTGTGTGTGGTTTTTTTTTAAGGGGGTGGAGGAGAATCGTTATGTCACAAGGGCAGCATCGAAGAGTGGCTACAATCCGCATCTTGTGTGAAAGGGAAACCGTGGCTAATAACAGGGCAAAACCACATTAGCCTGTGTTGTGTGGAATCTCCACTGCAAGCACAAATTGCCCAACAATCGCACTGGCAGCACGACCACCACAGAAAACATGGAAGCATTTGCATATTTTCTCCCATGTATGCTGCTGCTTATAAATGTCACAGAATGTGACTCTAAGCAACAAAGCATATGCACTCTCACAAAGGAAGATTTACAGCGGTGTTATAGTGGTATATGCTGTGTGCACAACTGAGGATCATACATCACGTTGCAGTTCTAAAATTGTCTTCAGGAAAACCTTTGCACTCGAGGCTTTGAAAGATGGAGAACTGGGGCACATTCTTCAAACCACTGGCCTTCCTTAGTTTATTTTGGCCACGGTCCAGCTAAAGTTGAGCTGTTTCAGACTCCATTGATCTTGTTGGAAGAGATTTGTTTAAACATGTGCTTAAAATCAATGGTATTGAGAGCCAGTTTGGTGTAGTGGTTAAATGTGCGGACTCTAATCCGGGAGAACCGGGTTTGACTCCCCACTCCTCCACTTGCAGCTGCTGGATGACCTTGGGCAAGCCATAGTTCTGTCAGAGCTGTCCTTGAAAGAGCAGTTTCTGTCAGAGCTCTCTCAGCCCCACCCACCTCACAGGGTGTCTGTTGTGGGGAGGGGAAGGGAAAGGAGTTTGTAAGCCGCTCTGAGACTCGAAGTGAAGGGTGGGGTATAAATCCAATCTCTTTTCTTCTTCTTAAAAGTGCTTACCTTTGGTTAGGTTGTGTCCTTTGACTGCTCTTTTTGCCCTCATAATCAGGGTTGGCTAACTTAAAGCATGATACCGATGACTGAAAAAAGTACAGCTTCACACAGCCCATCATTCATTTATGGATTAATGGGATTTCTTAACTCATGGATCTACTGGAATGATAGTAGATTTCTTCTTCTTGTGGAGTATGACTTTCTCACCTCCCGTATCCCACTGCAGCCTCCCCCCCCCCCAATGTTGCTCATGAGGGTCTCCTGTCCCCCAGTAGGAGCATTGGGGGACATTTTTTGCTTAAGTTGGATGGGGAGGCAAGAAAGCCATACTCCATGGGCAGAAATCTTTCCATCCAAGGAAATGCTCCAGTGTATCCAAGCCACAGTATACATTCGTGGAGGAGAGGTCTGTCATGGGCTTGATGCTATAAATGGAAATTCGTTGGAGTTTCAAGTTGCTACACTTCAGTCATTACAGAGTTAAATGTTGTTTGTCAGGAAACAGGATGTTGTGTTACATAATGTATTCCACGGCGGGAAAGTTTGAGGGAGTTGCTTAGTCTAATGAAGTGACCTGTAGCCTTTGTATTGGTCAGCTAACAACTTGTTTGTGGAAATGCTTTGATCTAGCATTAATGTATTCACAAGCTTTTATGGCCCTTTGTGTGAAGCACAGGAAGCGCTCTCTTGTAGCCGCTGAGTAGATGGGAAGATGTAGCCGTTAGTGAGTAGAGCTGAAAAGTAACTGTAAGCATGTAATCTTGTGTTTTATTTCTTTTTATCCAAAGTACCCTACCCATGTTTTGTTTTGTAGTAAAGATATTTTCTTTTAACTAGTGTGACTCTTGTGTTTGCAAAACGACCATCGATCTCGAATCTCAGAATCCCTAACAAAATTTCATGTTCAGTGACATGGCACTTACCTCTGAATACAAAATGCTGGGGACCCATAACTACTGTCCTGCTTGTAGTCTTCTCATATGCATCTGCTTGACTGTTGTGGGAAACAAGATGCTGGACTAGATGGGCCTTGGTGAGATCCAACAAGGTTCTTTTTATGGTCTTATTAATAGAATTCCTAATCTTCTTATTGAGAGTAGGCTTAAAAGAAGTGATTGGGAGGACTGTAGAGATGGCAGAACTAGGGTGTGGTGGAACTATTCCAGATTAATTAAACCAGAAGTTTTTTTTAAAGTATGTTGCAGTGATTGCACATTCTGCGTAAGAGCATTAAGTCAAGGATTATTTCTACAGCCGGAGATCTTGAACTTCCTCCTCTCCTTTTCATACATAGTGGTTCCTTCTGAAGTAGTGTTGGCAGTTGTTGTTGTTTTAATTGGCCCCTAATTCCTGTGGTTCTGACTGCTTGATCTGATGAAACTGGCAGGAGATAAATACATTCTGTGGCTTCTCCATGTAGGAAGAAGCTTCATTTGCTCATTTCTGAGCTGCTCCTAAAAGCTCAAGACCTTGCCAAGATAGTGTTTTCCTGATCAGCTGGCAATTCTGTTCTGAGTTTGCTTTCGCATGAAGCATTTTGAGGTGCTTGGGGTCTGTGTACGGCTGCTTTTGTGACATCTCCCACCTGTGTGTGGGAGAGAAACCAATTGTACATTCCATACACAGAAGGTTTTATGACTGCATTGCACAAGGGAGGTACATAAAAAGCACTTTAGTCTCTGACGTGAAAACAGAAACTTTGGCTCCCCAATAGCAATTTCCACATCAGTAGAAAGCAGGACAGCAATAGGAAGCCACCTCTGCTTCTCACTTGCCTTTAAAATAGGGTTGCCAGGTCCCCCCCCCCGGCCACTGGTGGGGATGGGGGTATAGGGTAGCCAGAGCCAGGCTGGGAAACCCCTGGAGATTTGGAGGTGAAGCCTGGGGGGGACAGGGACCTCAGAGGGGTACCATGCCACAGAGTCCCCCTTCCAAAGCAGCCATTTTCTCCAGGGGAACTGATCTCTGTAGTCTGAAGATGAGATGGAGTTCTGGGGGTTCCCCAGGTCCCACCTGGCAGCTGGCATCCCTACTTAAAAACCCCTTGGTGGGGTCACTACAAGTTGACTGCGACTTGATGGCACTCACAGAGAGAGAGAGAGCAGGGAGACTTTGGGCAGTTTTGCGATACCTATTTGTTACATAACATATTTAACATAAGGGGAGCGGTGGCACAGGGGATTTATCCTCTGGTTAAACATCTGAGCTGAACAGGACTGCTGTCAGTTTGAGCCCCGCACTGGTGTGAGCTACCAGCCGTGTCCCTAGCTCGCCATCCACCCAGCAGTTTGAAAGCTTCAGTGAGTAGATAAAATGGGTACCATTCCTTAGAGAGGGTGGGCACACTTAACCCCCTGTTGGGAAAGTGTTAGCCGACAAATGGAAGGTCCGCGCGTAAGATCAAAAGCAGAGAGAGAAATCTACGCAGCATCAAAAAAGCCTGCAATGGGCCATTCCGGCCAGACGGTGGCAGTGGTGCGCTGCGCCTGAGAAAAATGCTGACGACATCAAGCGACGCCGACTAAAGAATGCTGCCAGAACACGTCTGATGCTTACAGCTGACTAAACTCCCTGTCGACTGCGAAGTGTGTGTGATTAAAAATGATATATGTTGTCCTCCCTTACCTCCATCATTGTTAGTCCCGTGTCAACACATGAGTAACTGTAAATCGCTCAGAGCCAGCAGCTCTGCAAGGATTGAGCGATCAATAAATTGAAAGTATTATTATTATTATTATTATTATTATTATTATTATTATTATTATTAGTCAGACCATTGGTCTATGAAGATCAGTGTTGCCTACTTTGACTGACTGCAGCTAACTGGGATCTCAAGTGGAGGTCTTTCCTATCACTTATCATTTGATCTTCTGAGGTGCCAGGGATTGAACCTGAGGCCTTCTGCATGCAAAGCAGGTGTTCTACCACTGAACCATCACCCCCATATGTTGTCACTGAATATATATGTTGACAATGGAGGAGGAGGATGCAAGCAGCCAGGCAAATGATGAAAGCAGCATCAGTTCTCCAAAGCAAACCGTGTGCCCTTAGCATCCCTCCAACACCATATCTCTTTGTAAGTCTGCTGCAAATCTCAAACTGGATTCTTCTTTGGTGGCTAGATTGCAACTTGAAACAGCTCCAGCTTCAAATCTGAGCTCTGTCGAGAGGGAAAAAAAAATCTGAGCTGTCTCACCGTCAACAGTACTGAGCGGATATTGGCAAAACTCAGCCTGCTATCAGAGCTCATTAGCTATCAATCA